TGTATCTGTTAAATTGCCCGAGTTAAATATTGGAGAAGTATATATTGGGGACAAAAAATGTAAGAACAAAGTAATAGGGAATGTATTAAAATGTAAATTATTTGCAGACTTCAATACACCTTCAAAATTAAAACAATTTGAAAATGAAATATTTAAAAACTAATTCTGTAATTATCTTAAATGGCCAATTCTACCGAAAATGAAGGATATTCAGTTTAGGATTATTAATAATGTGTATCCAGCTGCTGAAATTTTACGGAAAAGATTCCGTTTTGAAGTAGATCCTTGTGTTTTTTGTTTAGAAGAGTTTGAAACCATTGAACATTTATTTTTTTCTTGTCCAGTCACATTGAAGTTCTGGCAGGATCTTTACAGCTGGCTAAATATTGATATCAACACTGATATTCCATCACTGAATTTGTTTCAGGTTTTGGTTGTGCAGATGGTCTTTCGAAAAACATGTCATTGATGTTAAACATTATTATTACAATGGGTAAATATCATATATACAAAAGTAAGTGGAATAACAGTAAACCCTCTTTAAATTGCTGTAAAAATGAATGTAAAAAATACTTAGAATCTTTAAAACACTTATGCAAAGATAATCAATCCCTTGGGGAATTGAATATAACCATGTACGAGTCTCTTTTCTTTTAAGACTGGTAAGACTTTGTACCCTTTATTATTTTATTTTTTTCCCTCCTTGAACCCCCCTCAAATGTTTAAAGAATGTTTGTTTTGTTTATTGTTATTGTATGTAGAGATATACATATATACACACATGGACATTTATGTATGATGGAGATGTGATTGGTAAAGTGTATATTTTGTCAAAAAAATACTTACTTAACACTGACTGAACATTTCTTTAACATTCTAGCAGACATTATACCAACAAAGCACAATTTAACTTAAAATTAATAAGTTGGTAAAATACCATTTTTTGGCCATTTTTGAGACTTGAATCAGGCATGTATTTTTTACTGTACAAATAAAGGCAGCCTTGCTGAGCAGAAGAGAATTCTTTTAACACATTAGAATATATTACAGATCCCAATTTGAACACTATGTGTGAATGTTATAATAAATGTATTAATAGAGCTGTTGTAGGGTAATTATTATTATCATTATTATTGTCTTACTTTTTTATTTTATTTTACAGAAGTTTGTGGCCATTTTACACACATTTTGCAGAAAGAAAAATGGTATATCAAAATTCCTAAAATGTTTTGCAGGGTCTTAAGAGGTTAATGAGTTCACACGTAATGTTAAGACGGTTTAAAATCATACTGGAATCCGGAGGGCGCTCTTGCACAGTAACTCCACATATCCATAGCAGAAGAAATACTACTGACCATGCTCCAGGAAGGTATTCAGTTATCGCTGAATAAAATGCACAACGGAGGTAACACAGAAATATGTCAACAACTAGACTTTATCGTTTTTACCGGTATATCGCAAACGATGAGATATCGCCCATCCCTAGTTGACATCCTATCTAAAATGTGATTTAGCCAAAAAAAAACAACAATAACGTTACCACTCTAATATGTCTTGCAATATCCGTGCGTGCAAAGGTTCTGCGCGATTTTGTTCAATATTCTCGGGGTCTGAATCCGGCTCAAATTGATATGGCAATATTGACGCCATCCTTAACTAAACCGGAGCAGATGGAACTTGCTGCTTTGGCAAGGGGCGGGGTAGTACTGAAACACTGTCTAAGCTGTTCTCCAATCACAATGCACTGGAACAGCTAACCAATCAAATCACATTTTGTTTTTCGGAAGGCGAGCCTTCATCAAACCCGGAACTAATCGAGCCGTTTGTGCCAGGATGGGGAGAAAGGTATTGTAATAATGTAAATAATAATGCGTTTTTAGAACCACCAAGCATGAGATCATGTTCTAGTACCCCCCCAAAACAAATTCAAGACATTGTAAAAGAGCATAATGGGATCCCTTTAAACCATAACAAGCAGATTTGTTTTACTTCTAGCTATATCTAAATAGCATAACAACAAATTTCTCTTAATGTATATGTATGTCAAAATTCTAAATGGAAAAATAGTATATACATATACACACAGTATATACATATACACACACACGACTGACCTGCATAAACTTTTCTACAGATATGGTGCTATCAACTGCAGATATGGAGTATTATTGCCTCACTGAGCTAACAAACACACCAGTGTCAACGTTACACATAAAATTCTAATAGTTACGTCACTCTGATATCACTCCACCACTAGGAGAACTCTAGCAATTCAGCCTTATCTAACTGTCTGATGTGTCACAACTGCTGATGATAGCAAGCAAGAAAACTGAACACAAAGATGGGTGAAAGTAGAAAGCTTAAAGCCCACTTTCTAACAGTGCTATTCACTGATGCAAAAGGCCTGTAAAAATACTCCATGAAAGTGGTAAAAAATTAAATTAAATTAAATATGGTCAATTAAAATTTAAGTGTTCTTTAAATCACCAAACTGATGATAATTAACTATAATGTGTAATTTGGTGTTATCCGTTAGTCTAAGCCAGGGGTGCCCAACCCTGCTCCTGGCGATCGACTGTCCTGCAAAGTTCAGCTCCAACCCTAATCAAACACACCTGAAGCAACTAATTAAGGTCTTCAGGATCACTTAAAAATTAAAGGCAGGTGTGTTTGATTAGAGTTGGAGCTAAACTTTGCAGGCCAGTCGATAGCCAGGAGCAGGGTTGGGCACCCCTGGTCTAAGCAATCTAAAAAGACTGAACTTTCGATTCCTCAAAGACTCCTGGAAAAAAGTACCATACCTTGAAGACTGGCGTAATATCTGCTGAGAATTCACTTTTACCATCACAGGAATAAATTGCATTTTAAAATATACTCAAAAAGAAAAAGAGTTGTTTTAAATTGTAATAATATTTCACAATATTATAATTTTACTATATTTTTGATCAAATAAATGCAGCCTTGATGAGCATAAGAAACTTCTTTCAAAAACATTTTTAAAATCTTACCAACCTCAAATTTGAACGGTAGGGTGTAATATATAAATATGAAAAATATGTAAATACTGTCTACATAAACAAGGCTGTTGTAGATTAAAACCTATAATAGCACAAAACAAAGCACTCATCCATTATGAAACAACATTTTTCAATACACAGTGATTGCAGGAGGAGCAGTTCCTCTGGAGCCTTATATATAGACAGCACTGGAGCAAGGGGCAAAACCCAACCAATGCAACACAGCCAACTCAGCATAGAAGTCCACCATAATCGATACAAAGACGGCATGATGACAAGCCAAGAAGCCTGCTTACACCGAAAGCATTTTGCATACAGCTAATTTCCTTCGATGTTCCACTCTAGCTATTCATTTATCAAAATGAAGAACGGTCAAGGACAAACTCTTTGTAAGCCATTAACTCCTTATCTTGTCTCTGAATAGTACTCAAGCATGTTCCGCAGTTCATAAAATTAGAAACAAGGCATCTGACATGAATTAACGAAAAGGCTGGCTGTAATAAAGCTTGCAGCTGCAAAACTGCTGTGCACCATGTATTAGAGTCTGTACAAAGCATTTTGAAAATAGACAGAGATAAAGTGGTAAACTAGCTCCACACTTCACCAAACAATGCTTAAAAGGCAAACTCATTTCTTTTCAATTAGGGATGCACGATATATCGGCCACCATATCGGTATCGGCCGATAAATGCTCATTTTTTCTGTTATCGGTATCGGCCTGATAAGAAAATTTGGCCGATATCTTAAAGCCGATAAATAATGCATTATTTCCTTCAGAGACACTTCAGATGCGCGCTGTTCGTTTGCAGCCGAAGTGAAGGAGTGTAGCTTCAGCCTCAACATCAGCAGGATATGAAGGTGTTAGAGCTTTGTGAAGGAGGCAGGAGGTCCACAAACGACGTTACCCGTCATGTTTATGCAAGACTTCTCAACACTTTCCTAGTGATATTTACAGTACAATGAAGGAATCCAGAGTCTCTGATTCATATGAAAACAATAGAACAGTGAAGCAGTGTAGAGATTTGTTAAGTGTTTCATGAACAATTGTGTTTCAGTACAACACTGCATGAGCTCTAGCTCTAAATATGGGCTAACAAGCCACATACTGTTGAAGTCTGAAAGCTATTCCCATGCACTACTGGTCTTTAACCCTGAAATGTTATCTATATACTGGGGGCATACACATTTGCGAGGCTGGGGGGAGGGACCAGTGAGTGAGTGGTCCCAATTTCTGATAAACAAATATTTAAAAACTGTGGCCAAGAGGCAAATGGTATCTATACATATAAATGAAATCTAAATTATAAATTATATATATTTTTTATGTTGTATGTATATACAGACATACATACATATAATTATTTCTATTTTTAGTGTGTATAAACAACACACAAGTAAAGCACGAGCAAAGATTCCCTCTGGACACGTTTAATAATAAGATGTTGACCAAGAAATTCTTAATAGCACAGATCTAATCTGATTAACACCAAATAAACATATCCAAAACAGACTGAAACTATAAGCCTCATCCTCAGCTTGCACCCGGCAGCGTTACTACAGAACTAGCCAAGCATTCAATACAATACAACAACACGTAAACCGAGCTAACTCGGCTACCTCAACAGCCGACCCCTCAGAAACGCTCAACGGCAGGCGGTGTGCTTTGCAAAACATCGTCTATAATGCTAGAAACTGATTGAATACATAACGTAACGTGTCGGGCGTAATTTAACAGCGTTCCGTCTAACGTTAAATCACAAACACCGCTAGCTATGCTAACTAGCCGGCCAGTCTTCACGGAGTGGTTGATTTCCTCCTTGCTCGGAGAGGCTCATTCAGTGCAGCAGGGGTTCAATGAGGGAATAATGGCCGTTAGCCACAGAAAAGCCCCGTTACTTCGACAACGGCTCTGAGAAGTCTCGGTACTATTAAAACCGATAAACGGTGACAGACTCGTTGGCAAAACGTCTTGTAGTAACTTACCTCTCCGTGGACGGTGAAGGTCTATCGTTACCGGACGTTTATGTAGTTTCTGAGAAGAAAGAAATTAAGAAATGTCCGCGAATAATCCACAAGTACGGTTTGCTACGCTCGTGTTTTCGTCCTCGTCGGTTTGAGCCGCAAATCCACTTGAGCGCCGCGCGTGAGAAACTAGGCTGCTCTCGCGCTCCCTCGATGGGTTCGGCCTTCTCGCGCTCCTCGACTGTTTTCCTTTCAATTCTGTCTGTTTTACTCGCGTTTCCGCACTCTCATCAACAAAAGGCTGTAATTCGAGAAGAGCAGTTCGTGACCATTCTGTCTAGTCGTTTTTCGCAGCCGTGGCTGTAAATACACAAAGCGACTGAACGAGAATCTCCACGGCTGAGAGATGTGGCTCGAGTCCGTGTGACTGCTGCTGCTGGCAAAGCAAGAGTCCGCTGGACGTCAAGTGCAGTTTCTCAGCGCTTAAAGGGCCAGTGCGCTCCTTTTGAAAATAGGTCCCACTGCTATGCAAGTCACTACAAATCACACCACTCGTTACAAGATATGAATAGAATACGAAGATATACCAAATAAGTACAAATATGCAAAAGATATACTAAGTAAGTGATTACTGAAGTGTGTGGGGGTACAAGTAGCAAGCTGCGATTGTGAGTTTAAACAACATGGATTTTTTTTTCTAACAAAATTTAAAATAGAAATGTTCAAAACGGCCACTTAAATGTTAAACCAAAAACTTAAACTGTAACAAAAATGAAATGTAATTTTTGTTTGACATTTCACTGTCATTATCAATCCAGTACGACCCTGTCATAATTCAAACTATAATTCAATACTCAAATGACAAATCAAATACTAAAAGAAACATCTCAAAGGAAGAAACAAATGCTCAAACATCCATGTGGGATGGTTCATTTTATTTTTAATTTATTTTATTTTATTTGTTTTGTTTTTTTTATTTGTTTTGTTTTTATTATTATTATTAAATTTTTTTAGGAAACAATGTCAATAATTTAATGTCTAAAATCTAAAGAACACAAAATAATATGAGAAGGTTTTGCAGGCAGAGTTCACCCAAAAATGTGACCTGGACCACAAAACCTTCCAAAAAAACAAAAAAGTCTTAAGTGTCAATTTTTCGAAATTGAGATTTATACATCAGATGAAAGCTGAATAAATAAGCTTTCCATTGATGTACGGTTTGTTAGGATAGGGCAATATTTGGCCGAGATACAACTATTTGAAATTATGGAATCTGAGGGTGCAAAAAAATCTAAATATTGAGAAAATCACCTTTAAAGTTGTCCAAATGAATTCCTTAGCAATGCATATTACTAATCAAAAATTAGGTTTTGATATGTTTACGGTAGGAAATTTGCAAAATATCTTCATGGAACATGATCTTTACTTAAGAAAAATCGATAATTTTGACCCATACAATGTATTTTTGGCTATTGCTACAAATATACCCGTGCAACTTAAGACTTTTGGTTTTATGGTCCAGGGTCACAAATAAAAATTCTGTCACTATTTATTTTATTAATTTATTTATTATTTACTCACCCTTATGTCGATACAGCCCTATAGAACTTCCTTTCTTATGTGGAACCATGTTGGTAACCAAACAATTTCGGTTCCCGTTGATTTTCACAAAAACTTCAATGGAAGTCAATGGGAACCAAAACTGTTTGACATTACCAGATCCGTGAATTTGTGACTTAAATTATTTAAACCACAAAAGTTGTCTACATAATGATCTAAAATAGATTAAAATGGACAAACTAAATATCAAAGTTTCTGTCATCCAGCTGAAATATCACTGCATTTCCAGAAAACACATGCACAATTTGGCAAATGGCTCTAGCAGATACTAATGTGTTGTACCCCCTGAGCTGCGTCTCTCCAGGCCCACCACATCTGGGCTATTTGAAGCCCGTGGAGACACAAGCTGTGGATACGGTGTTTTAACATTGAAGAATAGTGTCATAGAGATCACACTGTTGGCTCAGTAAATGACCTGTGGTTTCGCTAATGATCTGAATCCTTTTCTCTGCAGCTCAGCCACCCACAGCCATTAGGCACCGACAACCACATCCGTGACAGACAATCTTCCAGAGGAGTCTTATATGTCAACAGAGTTTCATTTCCATACCTCTGTGTAAATTATGTTGACCCACTAGGGGCATATTGTTTGTGTGGGCAGCTCCTTTATTTAAGCCCTTGTGTAATCGGAGGTTCATCATTACATGTGTTCCTGCTTTTCTAAATTAAAACAACATGGCGGTGATCTCACAGGATGAGTCTCTGACACACAGCCACCTCATATCTTTGCCTCGTGGTGCTGATCTCATATGTGGATTTGCATGTTGACATTTCCAATGGATGTGTCAGGGTAACCTTCAGAGAGCAAAAAATAAATAAATAAAACAATCTCTGAACTGACATTCATAAGCATGAGTCAGTCGTTTTTCACATTGCCTCAAATGCTGGATGTCCCAGTGCTCTTTCACCTTGATGGAAAGGCCAAACGAGAGAAATTAAAGGGATAGTTCAGTCAAAAATGAAAATTCTGTCATAATTTACTCACCTTCAAGTTGTCCCAAACCTGTATGTGTTTTTTATTTTAAATATACTATGAAAGTCAACTGGGAGCAGAAACTGTTTGGTTACCAACATTTTTCAAAGCATCTTCTTTTGTGTTGAGCAGAAGAAAGAAACTCTACAGGTTGGAACAAACTGAGGGTAAGTAAATGGTGACAGATTTTGGGTGTTGAAAGCACACCGTTTGGTGTTTTGATCAGATTTTTGTTAAATATATATTTCTGCCTTAGCCATCTGATCTGATTATCTGCCTGGAAAAGTGTCTTATGTGTAATACAGTAACATTAAAACCAGGTTGGGTTTGACCTACATTCAGTTTCCAAGTTACTCCATGATGTCAGGGTTTGTTTTTCTTTAGCTCTGTTTTTCTTTCTGCTCCGCAGTCTTTTCATTCTCTTTACCCATCCTGTTTTCCACCCATGCATACCGTCGCACCACCATCCCTCCCTCTCTTTCTCTGTCGTTCTCTCTCTCCTGGGTCATCCACCATTGAAGAGGAAAGCGGGTTGTTTATTTTATCAAAGTTCCCCAGAGCCTGAAGTGTCACAGTGTTATCTCACCCTCCATCTCTACAATGGCCAATTACTCAGCATTACGATAAAGTTAAAGCAGTTACAGTTGCAAATAAATATTGCAATCGCATTCCACCACCCATTATAACTTGAGCTTATTTTTATTGTTTTGCAATAGAATACAATGTTGTTTCCATATAATAAACTGCCCATGAAAACAAAGCTCAGAGATTTGGATGAAAATTGATGAACTGTGTAAGAGTAAAACAGGATATTCAGCTCAAAAAAACACAGGGCAGGTAAAAAGTGAATGGTGAAAAGTGGGCATTACAGAATGAAGGAAAACTGAATTGCTATTTGGCTATTGGATAGCATTAGTGTTAGTGACGTGATGCTCCTTTTTTCTGGTAATTTTGCAAAAAAACTTAATATAGGAAATTATTTCACAGAGAAGACTCCTGCAAACCCTTATGACTCTTATGTCTCTAGGTCAATTTGTCTCTTAAAATATCAGATCATTTGACCATGTTCTGACAAGGCAAGGTTAGATGAGGCTGTAAAATGTAATGTGGTGCAAATCCCCAAAAATTTAATTTATGACTTAATAATTCATAGTATTTGTACATGGTACTTTTTACCTCAAAAAAGGTTTGCAATTTGAATAAGATATAATGAATAAGATGTGTACACTCATATGTATTAAAAAACATATTTTTACTTTTTATTTGATGGTTACACCACATGGCATTTTTACAGTCAATAAAAGTTGTGATCTAACAAAATAGCTACAAATATTTTCTCATATTTGTGACATACATTCCAATTTTTATATGATTAAAAAGTATGAGCTCAAAAAAAATTGTTTAAGTATAAAATACATGAATGAAACATTCACAATAACATAAGCTCAACATGCATTTAGAAAATAGATTCATTTCCATTTTCATTTCCATTTCATGCCAACTTTAACACAAAACGTTTCTTGGAATTATAATATTTTATAATATTATAAAAAAAATTGCAAAACCATCTGAAACCAACATGAATACAAATAGGACATTTCTAAGAATTTGATATATAAATTAAACCAGATTTTTACATATTTAAAATTTTGCTTTATCATAGATGAAAAAATCATAAAGACGTATTAACATTAATCCATTGCTTCCAGCTAAAATATGAGTCCTCTATTCATAATATTGCTTTCTCTAGTGAAAAAGTAATCTCATCTGAATCAGGAAAGAAATATGCACAGATCAAGTACCGTTTACAAGCGAAAACAGTTCTAAACATATATGTCAGTGGATGTTGTCAACAGGGGATGTTGACAACTTTTTCACTGGAGGAAGCCTTATTATGGATTATGGACTTGTAGTTTTGGCCAAAAGCGACAGCTTAAAGTTGTAGACCTAAAGTTGTTTCTTACAAAATTGCAGCTTTTCTCTTCACAAGATGTTAACTGATGGACTGGAGTCATGTGGATTAGTTGTGGATTGTTGTGTTGTTTTTATCAGCTGTTTGAATTCTCATTCTGACGGCACCCATTCACTGCAGAGGATCCACTGGTGAGCAAGTGATGTAATGCTAAATTTCTCCAAATCTGTTTCGATTAAGAAACAAACTGATTGTGGATGGCTTGAGGGTGAGTACATTTCCACCATTTTAATTTTTTGGGTGAAATTTTCCTTTTAGAAATTAAATACAGTACTTTTTCATGTTGTCTTTAACACTTCTTTGGAGAAGCAACCTATGAATGGCATACTTTCAGTTGTCTCTGTATATTAAACTAAAAAAAAAAACTTAATTTTCAGTGGAAGCAAAGCAGTGGAAGTCCCTTTTCACCACAACGCCTTCTTTTTCTGGTCTTTTGTTCCATCAGGGTTTGGGGGGGGAAATCTGCTCAGCTGCGCACACACTTTCATATCTAAGCCAGCATCAAAGTCTTATCCCTGCTGGTTCTTCTGCAAGCAAAGCTTTAGCGACAAGCTATTGATTTCAAAGCCTCTAAATTGATGGTTATCTAGCAGAGAGCCATTAGCCTAGTTCAAATTAATGATGAGCAACATCAACAGAGGCAACGGGCAGAGAGAGGGAGGGTTGGAAATGATGGAAGGCGCTCAAAGTAGCTCTTCCTGTTGATACAGCTGAAGACATTACTGTGGCACAAAAGTAACAAATGAATTTGGCTGACAAGAAAGAGAAAAAGAAAACGCCGCTTTTATTTATATACTCTCAGACGGATGGTTACTTCACACAGCCACATCTGTGATAACAATTCCATATGCTGGATTCCTCAGACAAATCATCTACATTC